CACCGGGCCCCCGGCCGCCGCCTCCAGCGGGCCGGGCTTTGTGTGTGGTGGCGCCCCGCGCGCACGTGCCGGGAGCACACACCCCCCTCCGGCCTGCAGCATCCTGGCCCGCGCGGCCGGGGCCACCCCTCCTCGCCCCTTCCTCCTCTTTGTTCCCGGCCCTCCCCGGCTTCCAGGAGGGTCCTGGGTTCCCGAGGCGGGAAACGTCGCCTCCTTTGTCCTTCCGTCGCGCGGAGAGGCGGACCCCCTCCCTGGAACCCTGTCCCTCCGCGGATGGCAGCCTTTGCGGCTTTATGGGGTTCCCAAATCTCCAGTCAGCCAGGTCTCCCCTAGATCAGGATGCAAACTTGGGGGAGGGTTGAGGCTGGTGCTTTCTTTAGTTCAGGTGACGTTGGCTTTTTTTCCAGATTGCTTAGGCTTTGCATCCTGGTGCGATATCGGGGTGCACTGTAATCTGCAAGGCTGACATCCAAACGTGAGCGCTGAAAACTCTTGTCTACCTGATTTCATCAAGTGGTTGAGTGACTGAGATTCTTGGGGTTGTTGTTGAGGATCTGCCCTGGTTAATCCTCCACCTGGATCACCTATCTGAGGTGGACGGTGATCAGTATGTTCTCCCCCAGCTCAGTATCTAAAGTTGGGGAGAGTAAGCCATCTCTTTTCAATATTTCCAAAATTGAGTGAAAGTTGCTTGAGATTCTGCCTTAGGGGACATGATGGATCAGCAGAGAAGCATCAGTTTCGGTGATAAGCTTACCTTTTCTGGACTCAGGTGTTTCCGTGATGCTGAATCTGGTTTTCTGATTGGTTAAGATTCCGCTGTCTTTAAAATGAGTGGTCTGGCATATTTGGGGTTCATGGGAAAATGCAAGGTGCCACCTGAAGTTGGGATTCAAATTGAGGCCTTTAGATTCTCTTCTCAGGTGTTTGTGCTTGGGGATCTCCACGGATTGCTCACAGTGCTGCCACTATGCTTTGTGTGTGATGCTTTGTGTGTGGTCTCGTGGGGTGCAGCTAGGGCAGCCGCTGTGAATGAAGTGTGGGAACCAGAGGCTCATTCACAGCTGGAACAGGGGGAGAAAGGCCCCAGGGCACTGGCGGCTGCTACTCTTCTTGTCCCTAGTCCTGGGGTCTTTGCCCCTGAGCTGTCTCTTGGCCATGTGGGCAGCTCCTGGTCCCTAGGGTTTGTGAAGGGAAGCTGTGCGGGCCCTAGCCAGTACTGGGCACTGATTTATCAGAGTCTCGCTGCCTTCTTGGAGCTTGGATGAGCCTGGGAATCGCCCTCTTTTTGGAGCAGAGGTGCCTAATTGTTTGCTCTCTTTGCCCGATTGAGCTTGTCTAGTGTCTATCGGCAAAAATTCCTTTAGCTCCTTCTAGTATACTTTGAATTATCTTGGAGGCTCGTAGTCCTAGGAGTGAGGAATCGAAGGTGTTGCTTATTTTTCTTAAATTCTTCGCGTCAAAATGCCACATTGGCGAGAGCGGCTGCTGCTGTTTTGTTGTCACGTATCTAGTGCTCATTTTCGTGCTCCCCTGCTTAAGTCTTCAGGTGGGGAGAGGTGGAGTCAGTGATGAGGAAAGAGCCTTCTGGAGTCTCTCAGCCTCTTCCCGTTGGGTAAACAGCAGGCAGCATCTTGTCTGTCTTTAGGCTTCAGCGAGATGCGAGGGTTGAAGATGTTCTCACTTCGGAAAAAGGCTTTGGAAGTTTCTTTGGGCTGGGACAGCTCCCTCGGAGCTGCCTCTCTCACCCTCCTGCCCGCTTCCCCCTGATTTCATTTCACGGTCCGGAGGAGTGATTCCTTTCCGTAAGAAAGCTGGGTTCATACCTGCGTGGACCTGCCCTCCTGCCACAGTTTGTCAGTAAGTCGATGAACCTTGCACAGTTTCAGAACATGTGTAAATGTCACTAGTATTAGCATGTGTGTGTCACAAAGTAGTGACATTTTCTTTGAACCTGGCTTTGATGGAACCTTTGCAGGAATTAGGATTTTCTAGGCTCTCTATGTCGGATGCTTTTTATCTTTGTGAAGTCCTGGGAGAGGAGGATTTGATTTCTGTCTCCAGTGGCTGGTTGGGAGTTAGACAGATAGTAGTTTGACCTGAGTTGGCACACAGTTTGTTAGTGAAGGGGGCAGGGCCCTGAAGGGATGAGGCTGACTTCAGGATCCTGCTGCAGCGTTTGACAATTTTGTCTGAAACGACTAGCTTCCCTCTGCTTTGTTGTTGAGGGTAAGGCAGTGCTGCCTCTTTGTGGTGCCGGCAGCATTACAGAAATCATAGTGAAAGCATGGTGACCAGGTGGTCGTTAGGGACCCTTGTCAGTGTCCTGACTTTTAAAAATTGTTCCTTGTGATATTTATGCTCTATTAAATCCCTGTGAGGTTTTTCCAAGGCAGCACTTTATAGATGATCCCGTTGTAAATTGCAGTTGGAAATTCAGACAGACGTCTAACATCTGCTGTTTTCAGGTGTCTTGAAAAAGCAATTTCCAGTTGAAATATAATTTTTTTCTGTTTTCATTGACTGTCTATATAATGAAAAAACTGAAAAGGTAGCCGCTAGTTTCAACAGGAAAATGAGTTTACTATCCGAGGGCCATTTTCTTGTGGGCCATATATGATCACCAACGATCATTTAGTTACAGAGTAGTATGTGCATCCTTTTATTAGTGTGTGTGAATTTGCCTCAAATGATTTTTATAATCTTAGGGAATCAGTGGGAAGAGGTGCTATGGGCAATTTGAGATCCATGATAATTTTCCTTGAACACTCCAAATAGCCATCCTTCTTCTTATTTTCATTAGGATTGTGGTTCAAGCTCAAGGGTAAGGTCTTATTGGGATAATCTTCCAGGCACTTGCATTTCTGCTGCTTGCCTTTGAACTACTTTCTTGCTCTTATCTGTGTGTCTGTTTAAAGAATGAAACGTTGCCAGTTAGCTTTGCTTTTCAGTGGTATATTTAGATTTTTTGCAGGTTAATAATCCTTGCTATGTATTCATTATTTAAAAAAAAAAACAGTCTAAATGTCAGCAATATGGAAATAACCAGCCCAGCCCCACGGCTCACAGTGGCACTTAATAAATATTTGTCCTGTGGGTGACCTGTGCAGAATCCTTCCAGGAGGGAGTAACAGCTGCCTAGTGAACAGGGAGGCCTGTGGGCCGCCCAGTGAGAGCTCACCACAGCTTCACAGAGCCGGTGTGTGGACTGGAGTGGAGAGAAGGTGAATCAAGTTGATTTTGGTGGTTACTTCAGTGAGTTTTTAAAAATCTAGCACTTCAGCTCTGGAAAAACACTTTGGCAGTTTCTTACAACACGAAACAGGCATAGACCCTGTGACCCAGCAGTTGCACCATTGGGCATTTATCCCACAGAAATGAACATCTATGTTCACACAAAAACGTATATACAAATGTTTATAGCAGCTTTACTTGTAATAGCCAAGAACTGGAAACCACCCAGCTGTCCCTCAGCAGGTGCGAGGTTAAATAAACAATGGTGTATCCACACCACGGAACGCTACTTAGCGATAAAAAAGGAGGAACTGGATACACGACTTGGATGGATCTTGAGGCAGTGACGCTGCATGAAACAAGTATGTAACCTGAAAAGGTTACATACTCAGTAATTCCGTTTATGTAGCATTCTTTTTTTTTTTTTTTTTTTTGGTGAGGAAGATCAGCCCTGAGCTAACATCCATGCCAATCCTCTTTTTGCTGAGGAAGACTGGCCCTGGGCTAACATCCGTGCCCATCTTCCTCCACTTTATATGGGACACCGCCACAGCGTGGCCTGACAGGCGGTGCGTCGGTGCGCGCCCGGGGTTCTGAACCTGCAAACCCCGGGCTGCTGCAGTGGAGTGCGCGCACCTAACCGCTATGCCATGGGCTGGCCCCTATGTAGCATTCTTGGAATGCCAAAATGGCAGAAATGGTGGATGGATTAGTGGTTGTCTGGGGTGAGGCCTGCGGGGTGGTTGGAAGGTGACTGTGACTATGCAAGGGCAGCAGGAGGGCCGGATCCTGTGGGACAGCAGTGGTCTGACTGTCTCAGTGTCAGCACTGTGGTTAGGATACTGCTCTATAGTTCCCAAGATGTTACTGTTGGGAGAAGCTGGATAAAGAGTATACGGGATCTCTCTTGTGTGTTACAACTGTGCACGGAGCTACAGTTGTCTCAAAATAAAAAGTTTCATTTAAAAAAGGTACCCTTCACCACTGAGATAAATCGCAGGGCTTGGTGTTAATAGGTAATGTCCTTTGAGAGGCTGTCTTTTTTTTGCCCCTTAATTAGGAAAAAAACATTTCTGAGAGAAGTAAACAAATTCTACACTAAGTTAAAAAAATAAAACAAAACACAAGGCTTCCCGGTGGGGCTACCTGTGTGCGTTGCCTCTGTCCTTCACTGGGTGTGGAAGGTTTCCTAAGCGTGCTACCTCAAGAGCGTGCTGGAAAGAGGGTTTGCTAGGGCCGGCCCCGTGGCTTAGCGGTTGGATGCGTGTGCTCCGCTGCTGGCGGCCCGGGTTCGGATCCCGGGCTCGCACCGATTCTCCCGCCATGCTGAGGCCGTGTCCCACATACAGCAACTAGAAGGAGGTGCAGCTATGACATACAACTATCTACTGGGGCTTTGGGGCAAAAAA